TGATGTGCAATCGGAAAGGAGGGCTGTGTACAGTGGAGGTGAGGCAATCGAGCAGGAGGACGAGCAGGATGAAGAAGAGAACGATGAGGAAGGACGATGTGGAGGAGGAGGAAGAGCAGGAGCGAACATCCCCTGAGGCGGACGCGTGGGAGGAAGAGCAGGAGCAGCAGGAGGATCAGCGAAGGCGAAGGGGAATGGAGGGAGATGGCAACGACGTGGAACCAATCGGATCCCAAAGTAGGGCGATGGCCCCATTCAGAACGACTGCAAGACACAAGAAATTCGGATCGAAAAGGCAAACCATATCGTCATCCTCCTCCCTCTCCTCCTCCTCTTCCACCTCTTCGTCCTCCTCCCCCAAGGACGCGAATTCTGGTCACCTGGAAGGGTTGCAATAATGACGAAAAAGGAATGGCAATGATACCACTTCCGCGGGTCCGATGGACCACCGTTGTGAGCAGCCGATTAACGGCGAAAGTTGCGCTGTTGGCAACCCCACCAAGGAATGCGAGGTCTAGGCTTGGTTCGGTTGTTCCATCATGCCGCTGGGCCTCCAAGAACTCACGGAAAAAGGGCGTCAGCTGAACAGTTGGCAACCACTCAAGGAGCACCGACGCCTCGCCTGGGTCTGCGTACAACTCCAGTCCGCTGGACCTCCCAGCAACGAACAAGAAGTGGCGACAGTGGCGCAGCTGGCAGCCACCAGGGAGCAGCGAGGTCTCGTTTGTGTCTGCGTGGCACCCCGCTCCGCTGGACGCGAGGAGGACAACAAATGCGCAATTGCCAGCCACCAGAGAGCAGCGAGGCCCCGTCTGGGTCTGCATGGGATTTCACCCAGCTAGACACCTGAGGCGCGCATGAAGGTGGCGACGGATAGGCCGTTGGCAGCCCCCCAGGGAGCATCGAAGCGGCGACCATTGCACAAGTGTCAGCCCAAGAGGAGCAACGCGGTCTCGTCTGGGTTCGGGCGGCGCTCCATTCCGCTGGACATCCAGGGAGCGCGCGAATACCACGACCCCTGCGCAGTTCGCAGCCACCAGGGTGCAGCGAGGTCTTGCCCAAGGGGAAAAAGAAGAAGAGGAGAAGGAGGACGAGGAGGACGAGGCGGAGGAGGAGGAGGAGGAGGCGGAGGAGGAGAAGGAGGAGGCTGCCCGACCACAGACCTTCACCCGACTCGGCCTCGACCGATGTGCGGGTCAAATGGTTTCCGAGCAAACAAGGAACACCACGCGAGCCGACCTGCAACGGGCAAACTAATTCACTGAACCGTGGACTGAAAAAGATAAGCGAGCGTGCCGCATTCGAAAAAAGAGGACGAGGGGAGAGAGCCCCACAACCTGACAACCTACCCTCATGGCAACTCTTGAAAAACGCGGGAAACGAATTAGTAGGTGGGAAAAGTTCGCACCACGAGCGCACGCCATACATGCCGAGTGCATCGCACCCCGTTGTGCCAAAGCCCCCCGTTTCCAGCAAAATGCAAACCGTGGGGACGGGGTGCACCAGAACGAACAAAGCCACGCAGACGAATGCGAGGAGGAAGAGAAGGAGGAAGAAGAGGAGGACGAGGCGGAGAAAAAGGAGGGGGAGAAATAACGCAAAGAACCGAAACAATGTCCAGAGATCCAGTCAGTGGTGTAAAAAAAATCCGAGAGCCCCTGAATGGGGCCAACAATGACGACGAAACCTGCGGCGTGTATCAGGGTGAGGCTGGTCGAATGCGCGCATGGCTCATAAAAGGCATATAGCAGCAGTGGGAATAGCCATCAAAATGGACAGAGAGAGAGAGAGAGAGTGGAGGGTGCCGCGCGTTGGCCGGAAACCAAAGCGCGGCATGCGGAACGCAGCCGCGCAAGACTGGTTGCGATGATGGACGGGGCGCCGAGCTGGCGCTGCGGTGTTCCCGAAGCCGGGCTCCGTGGGCGGCGTGCCGCTCCCTCACCAGGCGCTTTCGGTCAGATGATCCAGGTGATGGCCCGGCGCATCTGATGCGTCCTCTTCAAATTGTCCTAACTCTGGGGGCCCCTTGACGTGGGCTTTCGGGGCGGGGCCTCCCTTGACGCTGACAGACGACATGGCGGCGCGCGCGCCGCTCCTCTTTACCACCTGTGAAGCGCCTGCTGCAATCCGCAAAATAACTTGAGCCACGCCCTCGTGACTTGAACCCAAAGAGCGCAGGGCAAACGAAAGCAGCATGGAACGAAAAGAACCACCCCCCACCCGCGTCGGGCACCGGGGCAGTCGCACTTCCACTTGCCGGACTTCAGCACACCGCGTCAGGGAGCGCCAGCCCCAAGAATATTTCACAGCGCCGCCAATCCGCGTAGCGCCTAGTCCCGCTGCAGCAGCAAAGGCGCGGTCAATCGACTGACCCCCAATCGATTCGCCAGGCCCGCGGGGCGCCCAGCGCGGATCGCTCAGTCGACTATGCCGCCCCACAGCTCGCGACGACCATCTGGTCGTCTTCTTTGTTCTCCTTGTGCGATGTCCTCCCAGAATTCCACGTCCACAAGGCCTTGCCAGGCTCATCTTTCCCTTTACTGTCGCGACATCTGCTTCCCAAGCTCCGGTCGCCACCGCTGGCCCTGCCAGCTTAGTGGCGTCTACCCCTGCTACCAACACTCCAGTCGTCACTGCCGGCACTGCCAGCCGCGGCAGCTTTGCCCCACCATTTACCGCCCTCTGTCTCGCGGCTTTTGCTGGCATCACTGCCCCGGCGATTGTTAGAGCAAGAAATCATCCAACCTCCTTTGCCTCCGTCCTTGTTTCTACCGCGTCCCCGCCGCTCTCCGCGAGACGGCTACTTTCCGGCGGAGGTATCTTCAGTCTCGTCATTCTCACGATCCCTTGGCTTCCCCCAGTCGCGCCCAGAAGCCGGGTCCTGGCCAGGGCCAACGGCGCCGCCCATGCCCGATCCCGGCGGGGGAAACGGAGGCAAAGCAGACTTGCCAGCCGCCGCCGCGGCGGCAGCATGTTCAGTTGCGGATTGACCCTCCAACTCAGTTCTTTATCATCAGGATAGCAGTCGTGGCACATCACATCCCATGCTTCTCGATCGCTCGATCCATTCTTTGTCGCGAATCCGTTTCTCGCAAATCCGCAGGATGCCCCTGGAGCAACGACTGACGATGCAGCAATACAGTGCTCGGTGTGGTAGTGCATGCTGCAGGACAGATGTAGCCGCCGAGTGGATGATGCCGATGCTGATGATGATGGTGGTGTTGGGTATGTTGTTGATGATGCTGCTGATGATGATGGCCATGACCATGGTGATGCTGATGCTGGTGATGTTGTTGATGATGACGATCGTGATGACAATGACCATGACCATGACCATGACCATGAGAAAGATGATGAGTGCGAGTGTGGTGCTCGGAGCGCTTGGCTCAGACACCTCACGCGAAGCACGTTGAGCTTCTTCGTCTCCAACTGCATTTGGCCGGGGGCCTGCTTTCTTCCACATGGAAAAAGAAAGGGGCTCTGACGGAAACGGGTCCTGGACCCTGGGGCTCTCTCCGGGATGAGCCTTCCGTCTGGGATCGCTATCTGACGGTCCCGTGGCCAAGGAGGGGCCCACCCAGGGAGGCCAAAAACGGCGAAAGACTTCAGGACCCCATGCCCTCATGATGGCTTACGAATGCTGACCTGAACTTCCAGCTACCCCCCCTCCCATCCAGCGGGATGCAGGCCACTTCGCAATTATGTTGTACATGAACAGGCCTCGCACCGAGGGTTGGACTCGACAATGGGCACGACGAAGCGGGAGACAGGGAGGCCGGAGAAGGGAGACAATAGGAGAAATTGTTGCAATACGTAGGGTGGGGGGAAGGAGGGAGTGAGGAACACTGAGGGATGACGGATGGATAAGCGAAGACAGAGGGAATAGGGGAGGGAGGAGGCAGGAGGGGGAGGAACGATTGGGCGAGACAAGGGAGACTGGAGGGGCGGAAGAGAAGGGAGGAGGAAGGAAGGAGTGAGGGATGAGATGGTGAGAAGGGAGCGAGCAGAGATGAGGACGAGGCGAAGGATACGGTGGCGATATGGGGCGACTCGCCCTTAAGACCCCATCTCTTGCGAGGGTTGCCGAAATATGTCAGCAGCGGTCCTAGGCGAAACTCAGTATCCCATCTCGATGTCTGAACTTATTCTCAAAAACTCGCCTGTTCCCACTCATCCTTATTCTTATGCACTTCCTCCACCACCCTCCTCTTCTTCCTTCACCCTCCCCTTCCTCTTCCACCCTCCCCTTCCTCCTCGCCTCATGCTGGCGCCTCATCCTCATCCCTGCACCTTTTATTCACCCACCGTCATCCTCCTTCTCCTCCTTGTTATCACCTCTATCCACATGTTCCTGATTCCTGCTTCCAACTTTACCCCCTCCTACTCAACTCTCCTCTCTTCTTCCCTGCACATGTCACTCGCACCTCCTCCCTCGCTCGATCCCCTGCTCTTTTCCCTCCCATCCCTCGCTCATCCTTCCTCCCCTCCTCCCGCATCTCCGTCCCTTCCCTCACGCATATCCCTCTGCCCATTCCCCCCTCGTTCCGCCTCCCCCCTCCTCATCCGTCGTAGGCCGACTCCTGCTCCCCCCTTCCGCCTCCATTCTGCATCCTCTCCCTCCCTTGTTCTGCTCCGCCTCCGCCTCTGCTTGCGCATCACCATCACCATCATCATCAGCAGCAGCATCAGCAGCATCATCATCAGCATCAGCAGCAGCATCGTCGTCGCCATCATCATCATCATCATCATCATCATCATCATCATCATCATCATCATCATCATCATCATCATCATCATCATCATCATCATCATCATCATCATCATCATATTCATCATCATCGTCATCAGCAGCAGCAGCATCATCATCATCAACATCGACATCAGAATCATCACCATCAACATGATCAGTATCATTATCGCCACTATCATCATCAGCAGCAGCATCACCATACTCGTGAACATTGTCATCCTGTATGGTCAGCATCACCATCACCATCATTAACATCATCACCATCATAAACATAATCATAGAAATCATGGAACTATGAAGAAAAACAGTTTCCCACCGCAAGCACCGCGCGCGCGATTTGTTGACGCCCTCTGTCCGCTCTAATGCCGAGGCTGACTGGCAGGGCGGCACCACCCGGGCGGGCAAATCGTGCCCCTGTGTGAGAACAACAAAATTGCTGGTGCAAGCTATCGTGTCAAGTGGCGCGAAGCCGCTAAGAGAAAAGTAATGAGTTCCCCCTCCCTGCGCCGGCCGCAGGCCAGAGGAGTCAGGGGAGGAGGAGGAGGAGGAGGAGCAGGAGGAGGGGGAGGAGGAGGAGGAGAAGCCGAGAACGGACAGTGGCGGTATGTGTGTGTGCGTGCATCAAACCCCTTATGGTCCCAGTGACCACGTATATAATGAAGTTACACACAACGACTCTATAAAGGATGACGCACAGTGCCTACTCAGTAAGAGCCCATGCGGCGAAGTGACAGATGGAAAACATCCCCTGAATCCTATCAAGACGGGGGCGGGAGCGGGAAGGGGTAGCGAGGGAGGAGAGGGAGGAACAAAGAGGAAGGACGACAGAAAGCCACAACAGCCTGGGGAACGCCTGTGGGTGAAAGCGGCTGGGCGCAGACACTCGCCAACTAAAACAAAATATCCGAACGATGGCGCTCGGGCGCTCAAGCGCCCAACACCGCGCGTGGAAACCATGACGATGACGGCGTCAGGGCGAACCTGGCGTGAGGCCAGAGGCCAGGGTCAACCAGCAGCGGGCACGGACATGCCCACACGCAGTGCTCATGAACGCGGCGCGCTGGAATGCAACCAAAAGGGAGAAGCAGGAAAAGAGGGGAGGAAGGACCGTCCCGCCAACAGCGGCGCGCCCACGGCCCGGCTGGCATCGCCATGCACGCCTGGATTGCAAAACTCTCTGGCACCACGGAGGAGGAGAGAGGAAGGGAAGGAGGGACATCGACGGCGGACGACGGAGGGGAGGAAGGAGAGACAGGGAATGTCCTGCCAACAGCGACACGCCCACAGCTCCCGCTGGCATAACGGCGCGTCCACGGCTCCAGCTGGCACTCTCCAGCCGGTCGGGACTGCAAGAGTCTGCGAAACCAGTGGAGGAGGCAGCGAGGGGAAGAGGGACACAGACGGCGGACGACGGAGGGGAGGAAAGAGAAAGGGAACGTCCTGCAAACAACGGCGCGCCCTCGGCCCAACCGGCCCAAGGGGGCAACCAAATGCTCGCGCAGAGCATCCTGGCCTCCAGCCGCCCAGGTAGCCTGGACCAACATGGTGACACCAGCCTTAGGACTGCAGCCCGAACCCGTACTGGTCCAGGTCATGCTGCTGATGGAACCACAAACGTTCCAGAGGGTAAATCCTGATGGGAGCCATCAGGTGAGACACAAGCTGACATAGGACACCGAGGACGCACCCAGACCGACCAATCCCAGCCCCGAAAATGCAGAGACCGAACCGAAACCCAACGACACGATTGAGTGCCCTAGCAATCCCGGGGCTGCACGGCTCTGCCGGGGGCTTGGTGCTGGAGACCCTCGCCGACCTCGCGGCGTCATCGCGGTATTGGTGTAAGCGCTTGCGTTGGTGCCGGCGCCATCGCAGGCGTGCATGCTGTCGTCGGTGCTGGCGTCGGTGCTGCTGTACGCGTCGGCGTTGGTGCTGGCGTCGGTGATTACATCGGTGCTGGTGCAGGCGCTGGCTTTGGTGCCGGCGCAGGCGCTGGCGTTCGTGCTGACGACAGTGCTGGCGTCGGCGCTGGTGTAATTCGGCGCTGGCGTTGGTGCCGGCGCCATCGCAGGCGTGCCTGCTGGCGTTGGCGAAATCGTTGGTGCTAGCGTTTGTGCGCACCGGTTAGCTGGGCAGCTAACTGGCGCGCAGTGGTCTGGCATCGGTGCTAGTGTAGGCACTGGTGTTGGTGCCAGCGCAGGCGCCGACGTTCGTGCTAGCGTCAATGCTGGCGTCGGCGCTGGTGCAGGCGCTGGCCTTGGTGCCGGCGCAATCGCAAGCGCTCATGCTGGCGTCGATGCTCGCGTCGGCGCTGGCGTACGTGCTGGCGTCTGTGCAGGCGTCGGTGCTGGCGTCGGAGCTGGCGTAGGCGTTGGCGTTGGTGCTGGCGCAGGTGATGACAACGGTGCTGGTGTAGGCGCTGACGTTTGTGCTAGCACAGGCGCCGGCGTTCGAGCTGGCGTCAGTGCTGCTGTCGGCGCTGGTGTAGGTGCTGGCATTGTTGCCGCCGCGGTCGCAGGCGCTCATACTGGCGTCGGTGCTGGTGGAGGTAGTGGCGTTGGCGACGGCGTAGGCGCAGGCGTTGGTGCTGGCGGACGGCGTAGGAGTTGGTGTAGGCGCTGGCGTGGCGGCGGAGATGGTGTAGGCGCAGGCGCCAGCGGTCGTGTTGGCGCCAGTGCTGATGCAGCCGCTGGCGATGGTGCCGGCGCCATCACAGGCGTTCATGCTGGCCCCGGTGCATGCCGGCGTCGGTGCTGCTGTACGCGTCGGCGTTGGTGCTGGCGTGGGTGATGACATCGATGCTGGTGCAGGCACTGGCGTTAGTGCTGGAGCAGGCGCTGGCGTTCGTGCTGACGACAGTGCTAGCGTCGGCGCTGGTGCAAACATGATAATGATAACCATCAGCATCATCATCATCATCATCATCATCATCATCATCATCATCATCATCATCATCATCATCAACATCGTCAGCATCATCATCATCATCACCACCATCAAAATCATCATCATCATCATCATCACCATCACCATCACCATCACCATCATCATCACCATCATAATCAGCAAAATCATCACCATCATCATCATCATCACGATCAGCATCATCATCATCGTCATCATCAACAGCAACGTCATCGGCATCATCATCATCGTCATCGTCATCGTCGTCATCATCAGCGTCATCAACATCACCGTTACCGCCATCGCCCACAACAGCATCAGCACCAGCATAATTAATATCATCATCAACATCATCATTATCCATCACGATCTACACTTGTAGAATCAAGTGTCGTCATCATAAACATAAGCATTGTCAGTACAATCGTCATCTCAACCCTCATGCCCCCCATGGTAATCATGATCACCGTTACCATGATCATCAACAACACCACAATCATCATCTGCATACGCATCCTCCCCCAAGCCCCCCGCCCGCCCACCCACATACCCACCTTATCCTCCCAACATCATGCTATTCATCGAGTTGTTACTGTTCCTCCCCCATCAATCCTCCTCCCTCCTCATCCAACTCCTCCCTTCTCCAATTTCTTTCGTTTGCTTCTTTTTGCCCTCTCCCAGCATCCCTCCTCCCTCTTTCTCTCCAGCTGTCCTCCTGCTCATCCGCCGGCTCTCCCCCCGCCACAACCCTAATCCACATATCCTCAATTTCGCCTGAACGATCTTGGCCTCTCCAGCGCTGGTCCCCCCCCGAAGTTCATAGCCTCGGTTGTGAGCTGAGCGCGGCAGCTGAAGGGTGTTGTGGAAGATGTTTTGGGTTGTAGTTTCGCCCTGGACAAGACCTGCATTGTTGCCTCGTCTCGAGCCGTGGGGGAGCAAGTGTCGTCCCAGTTGGCGGAGCTCTCCACCCATCCCACTCCCTCGGCTGTCAACCTAGGCGTGGACTACGTGTGCTAAGCTCAAGTCTAGGCTTGCAGCTGCGTGCAGACGCACCAAGCGCTTGCGCAGACAGGATAAGGTGCTCAAGAGGAGGCGCCATCATCAAGGTTTTCTCTGCTGGCCCTCTTGCTGGTGCGACTTACGAGAGTAAGATCACAAGGACCTCGGACTTTGACCTCCTCCTTCTTCGTCGTAAGCTCTTCAGCACTGTCCGTCCGCTTTCGAAGCTTCGTTCGCTCACCACGTCGGCGATTCTCGAGTCGGATCCGTGTTGGAGAACCGCTTGCTCGCCCATCATTAGGTGGTCGAAAGAGATGTGGCTCGCTCAGGTTGGTGCGTTCCCCTGGGCAATCGGTTTTCCTGAGCTTAGGCAAGCTTGGACGGCTGTTGTTAGCCTGGTCTCTTGTTCTTGGCGCAGCGTGGCTGGCCCTCTCACCGCCCTGCGCATGTCGCGTTCTAGGATTGGCTGGGTGATGTCGGATTTCATGACCATTAGAGATGGCAGGGGCCTTGACACCCCCCTCGGTCTGTTCTCCACCGCCCTTGTCAAACAACTGTGCAAGGAAGCCTACCTTGGCATGCTGGAGGAGGGATTATGCTGCCAAGAGCAGGGTTAAGCACCGTCTGTGTTACGATATTGCCAAGGAAGCCCTGCCGAGTAAGAAGCTCAGTGCCCTTGAGAAAGGTAGGATTCGAGCCTTCGCCACCGAAGCCTTTCTCACTAAGGAGCGAACGCTCCAGCTGGGCTACCAGACGGATGTAGGCTGCCAGTTCTGTGGGCAGCCAGACAATATGTTTTCACAGGCTGTGGAAGTGTCAGGCGGAATGTGTTACTTATCTGCGCAATTCCTTGGTCGTGCCAGAAGAAATTGCGGCGGCGCCCGAGGTTGAAGGAGGTGATCGTGCCTCGCTCCTCCCCTTTCTCTCGGGGCGTTCGCCCATCCCGCCGACACTTGCCCGAGGCCCGCGACGGATGCTGATGATGGTCCTGTTGTTGTGTGGCACGATACCGATCAGGCCTCCCCTCTTGGAGGCCACCTGGACAGACAGCTCTGGGGGGACCTCTTCATCGACGGATCGTGCACGAGACATCCCATCCGTGACTTCAGCAGAGCTGCCTCGTGTGTTGCGATGGTCGACAGTGCTGGTAGGTGCGTTGCTGAATTCAGAGCTTCTGTCTGGCCCCCCACATCCCCATGCCCCTCAGAGTGCTGAGTTCTCGGCCTACACGTGGGCCCACATACTCAGCACCCCTAGCCACACGTGTGCGTGGTCTGACTGTCACAATGTTGTCAAGCTTGCCAGCCTGCCGAAAGAGGTTCACCTTTCGGGCCAGCGTGTGTATGCAGGCGCCTACCTTCAGTGTTACCCTACTTCCTCCTCCCTCCTTCCAGTACAGAAGGCCGCCGCTCACAAAGACATTGATGAGCAGGGCATCTCCAGCGAAGAGAGATGGCGTAGGCAGGGCAACTAATGGGCTGATGTTGGTGCCAAGCATGCCATAGGTTTGCATGCCCCCTTCGGCCGAAGCCAATGTTGAGACGGACAAACTCAGCAGAGCGGCCCGCTGCACCTTGCGCCTCGCAGCCCGCCTCCTGCCTTTATGGGACCCCATAGACCTGTCTGGGGTTGAGCTGCTAAGGGAACCCTCTGCTGCCTCAGCGCCGTTGCCACATGCCTGGAGACCGTGGGCTGGAGCGTGGAGGTGTGAAGTTTGCTTGCGAGGCACCAGAGCCTTGAATGAGCCCCCTCCCGGTTCCTGTAGTGGTCGCAGCAAACTAGACGAGGGCCGCCTTTCGTCTCTTCAGCATCGGGTCATAGCTTTCGATTGATCGGACCTCCGTGTTTTACTCATCTGTGTGCGTTGCTATTGCCACTCCTCAGGACAGAGGGTTCGAGGCTTGTCTTTAAAATGTGTGGGCCGCCCGACGAGGGCTACTCGCTCGGGCTGGAAGACGTTGTGCAATCGAGGCCTTCACCCACAGTACAGCAAGCGTGAGGTGAAGGTCCACACAGGTAACATATGGTAACATCATGAGCCTGTTCAGATCCTCGGACGGTGTCCAGGTCGAGCAGCAGGCCGAGGAGCGCACGTAGCTTGAATCCACGGTGACTCAGCTACCGCCAGGGCCCTAGCATCGCATCGCGACGGAGGCTGCGGCTCGTATTTCGTAATGGTAGGTGGGCGTGGCCGCTCTTGGCCTGCCCGCAAGGTCAGCTTTCAGCTTGTGGTAAATATGGAAGCTCAGCACTACGATATGGTGGCAGCGCTGGCGGGGATACTCGAGTACATTATCGGGTACTGGGCCAAGCCCCAGACGTGTGAGAGGACAGGTGGGGAGGAAACCACGAGGGAAAGCGAGAAGGTGGAGAAGACGAGGACAAACAAGGTAGTGTTGGAAGGAGTCTCGGGCTTGGCATCCAAACAAAAACACTGACACTCCGGAGCGCTCGGAATTCGTGCGGACGTGGTCCATCCGCCGGACAATGTCTTGATGTGTGCCCAAGCCCACGAAGGAGGAGACCGAGCTAGGATGGATCGGAGCGCCTCCCATCTCCGCCCGAGCTCCGCTACGGGGATCTGGGGGTCATGGGGGAGCCACGCATGAGCAGCAGGCCGAGGAGGAGGAGGAGGAGGTCCCCGCCCCCTTGGTCGAGCATACCCCCCCCGTCCTCGGAGGTGGAGGATGCTCGCGAGCGGCGCCAGGCCGCGCTGGCCCAGCGCTTGCTCGCTGCTGCCCAGGCTGGCCCGTCCTTCTGCCCTTACTAGGGCCAGTCGGCTCTCCAGGCCGCCTTTTTGTTCGCCCTGGTGTGTGCCGTCGCCTTTTTTGCAGGTCCTCTCCCCCGCCGTAGGGGACCTGAGTAAACGTGGCGGAGAGAGCGTGGAGCTCAAAAAACCCTCCTCGTCCTGTTGGCTCCTGTTGGTTCCGATGTTGTCCGCCACAGCATAGGTGGAAGACAAGGAAGGGAAAATTGAAGAGGATAACGTTTCACACGATCCTATCACCACAAAAGCTCCTGGACGAGTGCATGCCACCCTCGCGTGGGGCTTTTCCCCCGCCCACCCCCCGGCCCATGCCGCGCCGCTCCAGTCAAGGCACATGCCCCGTCCTTCCCAGAACTGCCAGGCACAACGGCCTCCCATTTCCACGCGCGACTGCTGCAATGGAGCGAGCAATGTTGTCAGCGCTGGCAGGTATCGACAGGGGTCTGCCAAGGCATCTTCGGGTATCCCGCCGAAGCCAAAACATCCGTGGGGAATTTCAAGCTTAAGCTATGTGCACGGGTGGCTGGTGCGCCTGATGGCCTCATACTATTGCAGCCTGTTCGAGAGCAAGGCGGCGGGCGCGAGGGCCAAAATGGCAGACCGGCGCGAACGGCACGTGCTCGTGGGCGAACATCTGCATCTCCACGTGGTGCGAGCAGTAGACCTGGCGCAAAGGTTTGCGAGGCAGGGGCGGGGACAGAAGCCTCGGACCACCGAGAAAACCTGCACGTCATCCCTGAAATCCCACCAGCCCTCTGGGCGTCGGTGGTTTAGGGCGTTTCCTCTTCCACCCCTCCCTCTTCCCCTTCGGGGAGGGGTTTACCCCTCCCCCTACCCCCTCCCCACTGACCTGGACAGGGTGGGCGGGGAGCGGTCAGAGCGTCCAAAACAGCCTCGGCGAGGAAGCCAAAATCATTGGTTTTAGCAGGGTTTTGGCCCCATTTTGGCCTCCTGGGGGGGCACCGCCAATTAAAGCTCAGCTCTTCTTTGATAGATCTCCTCCAAGATGGCACAAAGAAGCGCCCAGGAGGCCCCAAGAGGTCCCAAGATGGCCCCAAGATAGCCCCAAGAGGCCCCCAAGAGGCCCCCAGAAGGCCCCCAAGAAGACCCTCAGAGGCCCCAAGAGGCCCCCCCCCGAGGCACCCAAGACCCCGAAGAGCCCCCCAGGATCGCCAAGAGACCCCCAAGACGTCCCAAGAGGCCCCCAAGAATCGCCCAAGAGATACTCCAAGAGGCTCCTAGAGTCATCCAAGAGACCTCTGGCCCTTGTGCTTGCCCTCCTCCTCCTCCTGTTCCTCCTTCCTGCTCCTACTCCTTCTCTTCCTCCTCCTCCTCCTCCTCCTCCGCCTCCTCCTCATCCTATTCATCCTCCGTCTTCCCAACCCGTCATCCATCCATCCATCCACCTCCTCCTTCTCCTCCTCACTCCTTTGCACGGTTCGGCCGTCCTCCTCTTTGCTGCCGCACTTCCCTGATCACCTCATCTCGCCTGGACATCGTTTCGGGATGGGCTGGTGGGGATAAGCGAAGCGTCTAGAATTTGGAATTTCCCACGAGGGGGCCCATAGTTTACAGGGGTGGGCGCGAGGAGCAATTTCTACAACGTGTGGCGCCAAGTAGGGCTCAGCCGCTCCGCGGCCCGCCGCCCCGCGCGCATTGGGGCGGGGCTGCAGGGTGGGTGGGAGGATCCGCCAGCCCCCTCGTGGGGCCACCAGGCTGTAGGACGAAGCTGCTGCTCCTTGCGCCAGTTGCAGTCTCAAGTCCCCAATGTTACGATCCTGCCTTCTGCTTACTTCTCTAAAATGTTGAAGTCCACGCGAGGGGGAGAGCCCCAAGCCGCCCGGTGACCGCGCCCGGATCGCGCTCTCTGAATTCATGGGGGGGCGTGAACATGTACAAAGACTTGCGACTCTCGCCCCCGAGGCCATAATCCCTGGCAAATTACACTATGGTCGCGTCCCCGAGGCCACACACCTTAGTAAATTCAGCAATGTGTGCGTCCCCGAGCAGCTAACCCTCGTAAATTACAAAATATGTGCGTCTTCGAAGCAAAAAAAAAAACATCGTAAATCAGAATGAGGGGGCTGAACCGAACGGTCATTCAGTGTCCCTGGGTGCGTGGCTGAAGTGGAGTTCTGCGATGTGGATCATTGTTGTTTGTTGTTTGTTGATGGTTGTTGTCGTCGTCCCACCCGCGACCCGCCCCGCGACCCGCCCCGCGACCCACCCGCGACCCACCCGCGACCCACCCCGCGACCCGCCCGCGACCCACCCGGAGACCCCCCCGGCGACCCACCCGCGACCCACCAGCGGCCCATCCGCTGCCCACCCGCGACCCACCCCGCGACCCACCCGCGACCCACCCGCGACCCACCGCGACCCACCGCGACCCACCCGCGACCCACCCGCGACCCACCCCGCGACCCACCCAAAATTTTCGGCGCCTGCGGCGGGCTTCTTTTGCATTCGTTCCAGGCGGAGAGCCTGCGACCCACCCGCGACCCAACCCGCGTTCGGTGTACAAGTCAAAATGTTCGGCGCCTGCGGCGGGCTGTTTTTGAATTCCTTCCACGTGGAGGTGGAGAGCCCGTGTACAAATCAAAACGTTCGGCGCCTGCGGCGGGCTGTTTTTGTATTCCATCCACGTGGAGGTGGAGAGCCCGCGACCCACCCGCGACCCAAACTACGTTCACTGAACAAGGCAGAAATTCGGCGCCTGCGGCGGGCTGTTTTTGCATGCGTTCCCGGTGGAGGAGGAAGAGGAGACCAGCGTATGATAATGGAGGGGGAAGAGGAGGAGGTGGAGGAGGCGGACGACGACGACGACGACGATGATGACGAGGACGCGGACGAGGAAGAGGAGGAGGAGGAGTAGGAGCAGGAGGAGGAGGAGGAGTAGGAGGAGGAAGAGGAGGAGGAGGAGGGCGCATCGACAGGGAAGGTGAGGGCCACGAGATCCGCCAGCTCGACGCCCGCGTCGCCCGCGCCCGCCCCCTCACTCTTATCCGCAATTGCGGGGTGCTTTGGGCCCCAAGAGCGTTCCAAGAGGCCCCCCGAGAGAGGCCCAGGAGGCCAACATCGTAGATTTTACATACGGCTGTTGAAGGGATTTCGGCCTTCTCGAATGTTCGGCTTTCCGACGCTCCAAGAAAGCTCAACAAGTTCCCAAGACCGCCTCAAGACAGCCCAAGACGCCTCCAAAAGGGCCCCCTCCGGAAAACGGGCGGGGGTCTTGGTGCCCATCCGCCCTTTCCCAGTCTGGGTCTGGGTAAGCAGTGTATCCTCGGGGGCGCGGAGGCGCCTGATAAAGTGCTTGGGCCATGAGTCCCACTTCCACAGCGCCCTCGTCCATGCCGCATGCGGGGAAGTCTGGGGGGAGACCCCCAACTGGATATGGGGGCCTAGTCGCCGCCAAAGGGAGCACCGGGTCGTGGTTCCCTGCCTCGATGGGGCCCACAATCCCTGACGCAGTCTCCCGCGGGCCGAATCCAGGATGCGTCCAGGCGGGCGCCCACCTTCCCCCCGAAGAATAGAGACCCGCCACCTCTGGCACGACGCCGCCCATCAGGAGCACTGCCATGGCCGGGTTCAGGGGCCAAGCCCCGCCGCATAAAGCACGCAACCAGCTCAAAGCCAGATGGCTGCAGGAAGGAGGAAACAGGCCACAATGGGGGATCCGAAAGTTAAAGGACAAGCCCTGACAAGAACATCCCAATAAAGGTGCTCTCTCATGTTGGGATGGAAAGGTCGCATCCGGAAAGCTACGGACAAGCCGAAAAGAAGCCCCGACGGGCACTGTCACACACGACTCAACAATGAGCTGGAGGCAGACTAGAACTGATATGCAAAAACACTTGAGGCAATAGAGAAGCAACACAAGTGCAAACCAACACAAGTCTTCACGAGCAAACCCGCTTTGCCTGGCCAATGGGCTTCATGCCATCAGCATCAAGTACGGGGGAAACTCAAACGCGCTATAGCAACAAGCTGAAATCAAGCCACATGAATGCTAGAAGTAAGCTTAGAGCATGCTTAGGACCAGCCAAAACCAAGCCAGAAACCACACACACGCACACTGGCGAGCAAGCACCGAACGATTAACCAGTAAGCAAGATGCACGTCATACCTAGTCGAAGCTTTAAACGATCAAGATGAAATCTGAACTTGCGAAACTTCAGCACAAGTCGCCCTTGGCAAGCCGATGGCAAGCTGAATGCAAGTGAAAACCAAACCGAAGACCGCAGAAAGTAAGCACCATGCGAGCTGCAAACAAGCGAAAGGCATACTGAAGACAAGTTTGGGACAAATCATCGGCAACACCAAGAAAGTTCACGGAAGCTATGCTTGCCGACGTGGACCCAGGAGAGTAGGATATTACTCTCTCGATTTGCAAGATGTGTGGTGAAAAGTACGCGGCGCAACACGTGTAGTGCAAGCGATGTGGCGCATCACATGCGAGAATTCAACCGCACCAGACAAAAACGGAACGCGCCGCTACGTGAGGCATGTGCGCAAGTGCGCACGCCTACGGGCCGCGCTGTCCTCGGAGACACATGGGGGGTCCTCATTGAGCGATCTGGCTGCAGGGCCTCCCAGAATGAGGGAGGGGACGAAGGAAGGACAGAGAGGGCGGAGATGTAGAAAAGCAGGAGGTCGCGTGACTGTTCTAATGGCCAGGGTCGTGGCTCGGAAGCCAAACGTCCAGCATGCCCTCAGATGGTTCCAGGGTCCGTCCTGGAACCGGTTTTGGGGGCCTCTTGGACCGTCTTTGAGGCCGTCGGGGGGAGAGCCCACAAGCCAAAATCATCGAAGCCATACTCACCTGCGGCATGATGTTTGCGTTCTCGCTTCTTCGGTTTCTAGGCGGCCCAAAACCACCCCACCTACGGCTCCAAACAAAGGCTCAAGAAACCTCCTACGCATTGGCTTCACAAGGGGGCCAGACAACGCTACACCGCCGGAGCGCTTAAGCACCTCATCCAAGTGGTGGACCCCGACCCCCCAAGATGCCTCTAAAAAACTCGCGAGAAGCCTTCAAGAGGGTTACAAGAGGCTCCCGAAAGCCCAACGTAGGCGCCCACGTGAATGCCAACAGGCCCACATCGTAGGACGCCGCAGCATTTCTAACCACGTTCCCGCTGCGCCTTACGCCCGCAACCCAAGACAGAGTGGCGGGATGGGCCGAAGGGCACCAAATCATATTAATTACGAATTTTGTCCCCTCGAAGATAATACGAAGCGCGGAACACGGCAACGTCGCAATGCAGGGTTTGCATGTCGCTATGCCTCTAGGTCCGGGTAGGCATGGGCCGTCATCCCTGGGCGGGGGGAACTGCCATGGACGGAATTCTTGAACGACAAACGGTCAAATATGGACGCTCTAGCGGCATGGATGCCTCGCCAACCCAAGTCTGGAGATCCGTCCCCTGTAACATTCTGAACGAGCTCGATGGCCACCAGGTCGGTTTCAGGGGGCACTGACAATCCCAACATGATCACCACAACGCCAAACTAATCACAAACACGATAAAGATCTTCCGTGTTTGAGAATTCCTCCGGTCCCCAACAGTGCAGTTCCTCTTCAGTCTTCGGGGAAACCGTGAAGCGACTCAAGAGGCAACCGTATCGCCGCAAAAAAGTTCAACAATGGCCCAGGACTGACCCGATAGGGCGCAGAGAGCCTCCTGAGGAAGCTCGAGACGGCTCCTGAGTTGGATTCCAACGCGGGCGCCTTACTATAGAACGGGTCATAAAACAAACGTTGGAACACAGATTCGGCCTATCTGCGCATATGCGGCCTGGCGAAGCGGGGAAGCATCAACGCGACGCCAAGGAGCGTCGTGGACTCGAGCCTGTGGCCTGGACGCACGCCGCGCACGGTTACCCAGATAATGAAGTTCTGCGACCGATCACTGTGTTCTGCGGGGGGGGGGGGCACGGACACGCAGAACACTGATCAGCTGAGCTTTAGCTGGCGCCCGCCTCACCCGCGAGCCCCATATCCCGCCACTTCACGATATCCCTTCGATTTCGCCCCACCCTCTTCATGTCCTTTCCGACCCCTTCCCGTCCTCATCATGCCCCTCCTCCTCATCCTCAACTCCCCCATCTGCCACGTCATGTCGTTCCTCCTCGTCCTCCTCCGCCGGATGCGTTCCCCCATCATCCACACCCCTGCCCTCCTCCTTTCCTCTACGCCCTGATGCCGATCATCCCCCTTTCTGCCCCCCCCCCCCGCCACCCTCGCCCTCGTGATGCTGACGCCGAGGATGCAGCTCCTGCTGGGCCCATTTCCTCCCCTCTCGTCCTACCCATTTCATCTCCCGACCCCTTCGCCACCCTTCCTCTCGAACCCATTCCCTCCCGTAGCCCCGCATCTCACCCCCCGCGCTTTTGCCCTCCCAGACCACGGCCCCCTCCAGGACCAGCCAGGAAATCACGGGAAACTCCCCACCCAGTGGCCACTCCAGCGGGCGGTGCGCAAAACATGCGCAGTTGGACGCGCGAAGTGTGCATTTCAACCGCGCACAACGCCCCTCCTGCCGAAAGAGAAACGCGAAAACTCCCGCACAGTCAGCACCACCCGCGAGGGGCACACTCCAAATACACATATGGGAACAAGATCTGTGTACACAGATCACACCACGATCTGCAAACAGTGGGCCCACACACGCAAATACACAGTTGAAAACACCAGCTGTGTACACATATCACAGCTTGACCTGTGTATTTCGAACATGGTAAACATTCGCCACCTCGAGGGGGCCCCGACTTTGCCAACCCAAGATTGAAATCGACGCGCCTGGCACTAAAGCGGCCTTCGACGGCCCCGAAGGCCCCGCAGCAGTCCGAAAACACGAGAGGAATCAGAAGTCATGGACCTCTCAACATTCACAGCTCCGCGCGTCGCCATTCAGATCGCTGCGCTGGCAAGGGGGCGGGCCTTGCCGCAGGCACCATGCATGTACACGTTAGCGATGCGACTGCGGTTGGCGGCCATTGCCGCCCGCGCTTGAGGTGCGCCCCGAACGCTTGCATTGGCAATCCCCTCTGTTTGGTTGCGCCGTTGTGCTCGGACATCGAACGGGCGGTATAACGCTGATACGGGCACCCGGCACCAGGGACTTCACTTCCCTTCTTCGAACAAGGAGGGAAGACGAGGTAGGACGACGGACGGTGGAGCAGGGAAGCGAGGAGAAACGAGGAATAATGAGGCAGGTGGCAAGGGGCGCTCTCCCGCCCGAGCCGCAAACGCTTTCGACACCATCAAGGGGGGGGAGAAAGGAGGGGTACGGAGCAAGGGCGAAGACGACGACGGGAAGCAAAATGTCCTTGGCCCACATCTAGCCATATGCTTGCGATTGGGGTGTGCGCGCCTTCTTCTAGGCCGTTCAAGCCCGACCCATACTCCATTCTGAATTCACAAATTCCTCCAAACTGTGTAAACACTCTGTCCTCTGTACCCCCTCCAATACAACTGCCTCACAACAGAGGGGCAGTGGCTCCAACTCCTGAGGGCGTTCAGACTGCCCCATGTGCAAACATAGCCCTAAGGCGCTCCGCGTGTTTCAAGCGGGCTCCAAGCCACCTGTACTACGATAACCCAGGATGGTGCCACTATGGCCTCAAGATCCGTCTCGGGCCGACGGCGTGTTGGGGCTGAATTGCGCCCGACGTTCGGCCACTTAGCTCTGTTTCGGGCGGCCTTTGGCCGTCTCCGGGGCGTGTTGGGGCCCTCTTGGAGACTCTTGGCCTCTCGGAGCCTCACAAGCACCCAGGGCAGACCCAGAACTGAGCCCAACCAAATATCCTCTCCAAGAATGGGAGTTTTCTGGGGCTATCTTGGCAACATATTGGATACCACTTGCGTGTCCTCCATTGTTGGAGCCCTCTTGTTGTTGGGGCGTCGTCGTCGTTGTCATCGCAGTACAGGCAGATCGGGAGCAGCAGGAGCAGAAAAATAAAAAGCATGAAAGCAGGATGAACAACAGCTGTATCAGAAGGGGGCAGACAAAAAGTCTTATCTTGGAGACTCTGGTGGACTCCTGGGCCATCTTGGTCTTGGGCCCATCGGAGCCCTCATGGCTCTCCTTAGAGTCTGTGTGGCGTCTGGGCTTGCCCAGGAGTGCACAGAGGAACACCAGAAGGAGACTTGCGGGAGAACAGCACTTTTTTTTCCCCTGGATCGCTCGTTTTCGCTGGCAGCAACATGCTTTGGCACGACCGGCCACCTGAGACGACGTCGCCCTCGTCGCGAGCAGCCGCATCGAGAACACAAACCAAAACTATGACATCGCGGTCTGGAGGCAGATGCCCTTGGACCGGCTGCGCAAAGACACTGCCGAACAACAAGCACGACAACTGCTCTACACCCTTGGCGGCAGAAGACCCCAAACAGCTCTCTGGAACACTCAACAGATCACAGTGGACAGTACGATAAGAGAGCGAAGAGTAGCATCGAGAGAACCCCAGAACAAAAACTGCAGGGGATACTCGAAAAATCGAGTCCACAAGGAAGACCATTAAGAGGGGGACCATAATGGAGATCGTATGGGAGACAATACGGGAGACCATTCGGGA